CGAGGAGGACGAGAACGAGGACGAACAGGAGGAAGAGGAGCAGGAGGAGGAGGAGGAGGAGGAGGAGGAGGAGGAGGAGCAGGAGAAAGAGGAGGAGGAGGAGGAGGCAGGCTGAGGCTGAGGCTGTGACTGCGACTGCCGTTGCCGCTGCGACTGTCATCGCGAATGCGACTACGACTGCGAGAACAGCAGAATTCGACAACTGGATTTTCATTTGAATCTTAAGGGGAATGCTTTCAGATATGCTTCTACACATCGCTGTTAGGTTGCTTTGCCGGGATAATTACAGCTGTTTTACGGATTGAAGGCGGGCCGTTTTCAAATGTGGTTCTCGCGTTCGCGCCGCGCACATCCGTTGTAATACATGCAAGGGTTTCACATATCAAAGGTGGCTGATTTTCGGAATGTGGCTTTCGTTTTAGCGCCGTGCACATTCCTTTTTTGTTTTTCAAACGTTGCAAGCTTTGTACGGTTTGAAGGCAGGTGGTTTTCAACATGTAGCCCTCGCCTGAGCGCCACGCATATTCGTTACATTCCCTTTCAAGGGTTCCACGGATCCCCATGGTTAGCGTACCAGAATTTGTGTTTTAGTTAGACTCAATATTGTCGGGGCGCAACAGGTACGTTGATTCTCGGCGTCGAGGTCCCAGGAATGTTGTTCTGGCACGGTTTACGATCGCCAAGGCGTATCAGTCAGGTTCAGTCGTGGCGTTGAAGTCTTGAGAATGATGTTTTGGCACGAGTCCGGATTTCGCACGGTTGTCCCACAACGGTGGAATTCCCTCACTAGAATTTGCCCATTGTTGGGGTTTTTGATGAGGCAGTTTGGACGGACGATGTATTCTAATTTCGTGATTGTCCCTTGGGTCTACTCTGGTCCTCCTCCTACTCTTTCTCCTCCTCTTCCTCCCCCTCCTCCTCGTCCTCGTCCTCCTCCTCCCCCTCCTGCTTCCCCCCTGCTGCACCTCCCTCCGTTGCAGCACGAGGTTTTGCCTATCTCTGTGGAGCTAGGCATTCTGGAGGCGTGGGCGTGGAGCTCAACCTTCTCTTCCTCGTCCTCTTTCCTCCTTCTCTTCCTCGTCCTCCTCCCCCTCCTCTTCCCCATGCTCTTCGTCACAAGCGCATGGCCGTAATACACCCTCCCGTGCCAGTACCCTCCACAGAGGTCCCTACATGTATCGCCAAGGCCTCACAGACGCTGCCGCCGTCCTTCAGACGTGGTCTACTTGGGCGCAAGAGACGGCAGAGACGGCAATGGGGGACAGGGCAAGGGGTAGCGGCGGCTTGGAACCGAGGGCGTAGATCTAAGGGTCGTCGCCCCATCCCGCCACTGCGCCTGGGTCGCGTTCCAGAGGTTTTGGGGACATTTTCCACAATCTTCGGCGGCTGCTTCGGGGGCTCCTGGGGGCCTTTGTGGCCAAGTTTGGCGATGAGTCTTGGGGCCTTCTGGGGATTCTTGGGGTCTTGGGATCATGTTGGAGGTGTTGGCGTGTTTTTTGGGGGTTTCTGTCGGGGCCGTCTTGGGGGCCTCTTCGGCCCTTCGCGGGGACTTCGCGGGCCATCTTGGGCTGGCCTTCGGAGGTTCTTCGGCCGTCTTGGGCGCCCCTGCGGCCGATGCAGCGAACATGCTCTGCTGCCACCTGGGCGTGTGGGACCCAGCCGATATGGGCTATCTGGGCGGGCCCCCGGGACCCCCCGAGACTGCCCGCGAGGCTCCCGCGAGTAGTGCCGAGGCTTGGCCCCGAGAGAGAGATGGTTTCCAGCGGGCCAGGTGCCCCTCCTTTTCCTCCTTCGCCTCCTGCTCCTCCTCCTCCTCCTCCCTCCTCCTCCTCCCTCCTCCCCCCCTCCTCCTCCTTCTCCGTCCTCCCTCCTCATCTTCCTCCGTCCTCCCTTCGTCCTCCTCTCCTACCCGGAGGTGCGACGCTCCAATCAAAATGGAGCAGTCGGTTTTTGGCCGTTTTCGGCCTCATGGGGGCCCTCGCCGGGCCTTGGGAGCGTCAAGAAATGAATCAGGACGAAGAACCGGCCCCCGGGGAAGTGGTCCAGACCTCCAGGGCCCGCGCATTGAAAAGCAGCCGCATGTCTGGGAAGGCACCCGGACCGGCTCCGATATCGCTCGAGTCTCTTCGGCGAGGGGCGGGGGCGGGGTCGGGGAGTTTGGGCGGCGCGCAGAGGGAGGTAGGGGGAGGTGGGAAGGCTTCTTAGAGGGGGGCTGCTTCTTAGAAGGCGATGAACATACATGTCTATAGATCAGGCCCGCGCCTCCAAGAAGCAGGGGTGCTTCTCAGAGGCCTTCCCTCCTCCCCTTCGGCCCTTGTGCGCGCCGCCAAAAGGCGCGCCCTCCCCCCCAAGGACCCCGCCCAGGACCTCCATGCCCCTGTCGCAGAGGGGACAGAGAGGGAGGAGGCTCGATGGCGACCTGGGCCGGCTCGCCTCGTGCTGGCGAGCCTGGGGAGTCCCAGAAGGTCGGAGGACAGGGCCTAGACTCCTTCGTCAGGGGGGGAGAAGCCACCCCGACCCGACAATCGGCGCTTACTAAACGGCCCTCGGCGTTTACTGAACAGCCCTGCCCTGCTTGATTCCTTCGTGGTGTGCGTTTTCTGAACGGCTTCGCGTGTCGGGGTGATTATAATGGGAGTGGCTGTTCTCATCACGGGAGGTGTTTCCAGATGTTCTGCCGTATTGGATGCCCTCACCCGCCCTCGGGGCCGTCAAGAAGCGGCTTAGCATTAGCACTGGTCCAGGGGATCGGGTCGAGACCTCTGAGGGTCGACGTGATGAGAAAATCTCAGGAGGGAAAAAATCACACAGACACAATTAATCGTCGATTCCCCAGAAAATATGGGAAAACATGGGAAGTGGGGTGGAAGACAAAACCTCCGAACATATGGGACAAATATGGGGAATCCTGTTATTTGTGTGTATGTATTTGTGTGTCCCAGGCCCCCTTCAAACTCATGACGTCGGGGGGTTGGGGGAGGGAGAGCTTCGGATGGACAGCCCCCGGCACGCGCCGACGGATTCCTCTCCTGTGCGGGCGGCGCGCCCCGTTGAGGGGCGTGCCTGCCGCTGCGGTGGGACCCCGTGTTGTAAAGGATCCTTCAGCGTTCTAGTTGAGAGAACGGCACAGAGATAGGGTGCCGAAGTTGAAGCAAGGGTCAAGCGGTGTGCCCTCCATCCGCGCAAGGGTTGCGCAAATGGAGAGTCCTGGTCGTACAGGTTGCGGAGGTCTCAAGCGATGGCCCCATTCTGAAAAGGACCCCCCCCCTTCATGTGTGTGTAGCAGTTGCACAGTGTGGGATTCCGTGCGCTAGAATTTAAGGACATCTCGAGCGAGAGCGTGAAAACGAACTGGCCTTCACCTTTATAGCTGCTGGAAGTTTTGAAAACGAATGTGGGCTGCGCTATGGGAAAACAAAAAACGTATCTTGAAAGGCTCCACAACGGGTCGACTCTTGAGACGACTGTGCGCGGCGCTAAGGCGGAATCCGCATTTTGAAAAAGGAGCCAACAAAAAGCATAGAGCGCCTACCTCCCTCTGTCCACCTGACTCCGGGTCGTGGACGACGACGCCGACCGCTAATGGATGCTCGGGTTGTTATTTCAGGCACGGGCGATGTGCCAACCCTTCGCTTTTCGAGGCATGCTCCATTTCCGCGCGTGAGCCAGGGACACCAGCCGAGCCTGCTGGGCGAGCAGCCATCCCTCCCCAGACCTCAGACCGGCTCGCTGCTTCCCAGGGCCAGCGTTCCTTGCCGAGCCGCGCTGTGACGGCCCGGAGGCCGACACAGCCGCGCAGATGTCGATAAGAAGTGGGGCAACCCAAGAGTGCCCCCAGAGGCTCCCAAGATGCCCCCTCCTGCTCCTCCTCCTCCTCCTCCTCCTCCTCCTCCTCCTCCTCCGCCTCCTCTGCTGGCGTGATTCGCCAGTCAACATCGACCCTCAGACCCCCCCAGGGGCGCGATTGGGTGAGAGCGTCGATGCGAATCCCGCCGCGGAGGGGACGGGACGCCTCCCCGACAAGCCCAAACAGGGCGAAGAGCGCCCAGCAGCCACTGGTCCTTGATCCTCGATCCTTCTCGATCCTCGATCATCCTCTCTCCCGCAAAATCCTCCTTCATCCTTGATCCTCGATCCTCCTCCTCCTTGGTCCTCGATCCTCGATCCTCATCGATCCGCGGCTTCCCTCGATCCTCGATCCTCGAGCATCCTCTCTCCCGCAACCGCGGAAACGCGTCACCCACGCGGTCGCCGCCACGCGCCTGGCCACGCGCCAGCGCGCGCCGCCCGGCCCCGGCGCGGGACCGTTACCCGTCCCGAAGAGGAGGGGGGGGAGGGGACCCGGGGGGATGAGGGGGGGAGAAGGAGGGGAGGAGGGGGGGAGGAGGGGGGGGGGAGGGGAGGAGCGGGGGAGGGAGGGGGAGGAGGGGGGGAGGAGGGGGGGGGAGGGGGGTAGGATTGGCCGCCCGCACTCGTGGGCCTCCTGGGGCCATCGATCCCCCTCGCCCTTCGCCTCGCTCCTCGGCCCTCCGCCCTCCTCCCCGCGGAGCCCGCGCCCCGCCGCAGCGCCCTGCTCTTCGCGGCACGCGCGGCGCTCCCGCGCGCGCACAGGAGTCCGAGACGGCTGGGGCGCCGCCCGCGGCGGCCAAGGAGGCGCCGCTGGTGCCGGTGGTCGTCGCCGTCGCCGTGGAGCGGAGAAGGAGTACACCAGAGCGAATCCCCAACCAGTGGATGACTTTGAAGGAGATCGGCCGGGAACCCGGGCAGCCGGAACCCACCGAAATCGGCCCAGAACCCGGGAACCTGGGAGCCCGGAACCGGGAACCCGGGAAGTCAGCCGGCTACCAAAATCGGCGGGAAATTTTCACCAGATTTCTCAATTTCTGCTAGGACCCCTTCTGTGCAAGCACTGATTGGGGAAAAAGATGCGCATACTAGGATTTTGTCGGGCGTGTCCGTCTACAGGAGGAATATCCAAACATAGTCACAAAATAGTGTGGGGACGAATTCTTTTAATACTATTTTTGATCATTTCAGGTTATTTTAAACTATATTGCATTTTTCCTCCCAAATCCGCCTGTAGGGGACATGCCCGACCTACTACTAGGAGAACACACAATGACATAAACATAAAAGCTCGGAGGTCCGCGCGGATTTCTCGGATCCGCGCTGGCCCCCCCCTGGCGCGCCCGCTGGATTCGCCTCGAAATCTTGGTCAGGACGCACCCTGGGATGGGTTTAGGGTTCAGCGGTATTTGTACCTTTTGGTTTCCCCAGCGGCGTGCGTCGTCGTGCGCATGTGCTCCACCGGCTCCTCCACCCCCTCCTCCACTCCCCTCCAGCCTCCTCACGCCTCCTCCTCCTCCTTCTCGGCCTCGTCCCCCACCTGCCCCTGGCTTCCTCTCTCCGCTTCCCTCAGCCCTCCCCCCGACACCTAACCCACCACCTCATCCTGCCCTTTTTCTTCTTCTTCTTCTGCTTATTATGATTATTAGTATCATCATCATTAGTAGCATTATAATTATAATCACGTGTTATTAGTGATATTCTGCCTCCTCCTCCTCCTTCAGTGCACCTCAATACTAGCCTCAGCCTGCTCCTGTCACTCGTCCAGTTTTGCTTCCCTCGTGGGCAATTAAATTTAACTCTTCTCAGAGGTGCCCTCCTGTTGCTCACACTGCTGCTGCTGCTGCTGCTCTCATGCTGCTCCATGGGTGCTCCATGCGAGTTCGAAGCAGTGTCCTCCGTCAAGCAGTGGCGAAGCGTCCAAGCTTGCCTATAGCCCTACTAAACAATGTTCTAAGAACCTTTTGTGGTGTCCACGAAATGGTCTTAGAACATTTCTGGCGGAGTCTGTCTCGTTGTATCACATCGGGTTAATGTTAATCAGAACATTGTGTTTATGATTCGAACATTTTTGGTTTCTAAGCAAATTTCGTGGTAGGACTACAGGAATGCCGGGACGGTCGGTCCCTGCTCAACTCCGAGAGTTGGGTGACCAATCGTTCGCCAAGTCCTGCCCATCATGTCGAGAGGGGAGGGGGGGAGGAAGGGAGAGGAGGACACGTGGTCCGGGACGGGGGACGAGGACGACGGCATGCCCCTCCTTTCCTCCACCCAGAAGAGAGTCAGGTTCTGGCCTGGGGCAGAGAAGGCGGGGCGGTTCAGAGGCGAACGACTGCGAGTACGTTCGGGTGCGTTTGCGACACGCAGGTCAGCATTTTCGAAAGAAGGTCGCGGCACTGCTCAACGCCGGTGGAGGCATTGCGCTGCACAGCTCCGATCGGGCGGGCTGTCGTGGGGGGTGATCTCAAGGGGGGGGATGAAGACGAGGGCCCCGAGGGGGGCCCTGTATGGCCCTCTCTGGAGCCGGCAGGACGGCCCGTTTGGGATTCTTGGTTCACCTCCGATGGTAGGTCGACGGCTTCGCAGACGCCTGCGGCCAACATTGGACGAGCGCTGGCCAGAGCCCGAAAGGAGTGGGTTGATCTTACAAGCCGTCTCACCACGTGCTGAACACTGAGCTTCTCTTCGCCACTTCGTTCCTCACTTCCGCAGGCGGGACTGCTTGCCTGCGCGTGCTAGTAGTACGCTGCCCTCCCCTCGATCGGGGCCAGTCTGGCTGTGCAGGGCGCGAGTCGAGCCGAGCTGGTGTAGGTCACGCCCCATCACTCACCGCCCACCAAGCCCAACCCGAAGGCCCGCCCCGATTTGCCCTCCATCTCCAGTGGTGGGGGGGGGGTCGGGGAACAGTGAAAAGCACATATGAAGCCCGAACCCCCCCCAAACCCGACATTTGGGTCTTCGGGTTGGGCCGGGGCGGTCTGATAGGTAGCCAATCCCAGACTCCCGACGTCATGATGTTTTAATAATGTCGACCCTCAGAGGTCTCGACCCATTCCCCGGGACGGGTTTCTTGTCTTGAGTCGTTTTTGGACGGTCCCGAGGCCAGGCAATGGCTTCCGATGCCGAAAATACGGAAAAGCCTCCCGTCGTGATTTGTTCATTGCCCGATGGGGGTCTGGGGAAGTAGCCAGTCACCACCCGCCCGATGCGTCTGGGATCACCACCCGCCCGCTGCACGGCCCCGATCCCGGGCATGCCTCGGCGGCGAGGACCGGCCACGAGGGCCACAAGGGGCGGTCCGCGGCCGCAGCCGCGCGGCGCCGCCCACGCCCGCGCGGAGGGCAGCCGCCTCGCGACCTCCTCCTCCTCCTGCTCCTCCTCTTCCTCCTCCTCCTCCTCCTCCTCCTCCTCCTCCTCCTCCTATTCCTGCTCCTGCTGCTCCTCCTCCTGCTCCCCCCTCTCCTCCCCCCCCCTCTTTCCCCCTCCTCCTCGTCCTCCTCCTCATCCTCCTCCTCACCATCCTCCCTCCTCCTCCTCTTCCTCCTCCTCCCCTTCCTCCTCCTCCTCCTCCTCCTTCTCCTCCTCCTCCGCCTCCTCCTCCTCGTCCTCGTCCTCGTCCTCCTCCTCGTCCTCCTCCTCCTCCTCCTCCTCCTC